GCACAAATACTCAAAGCAGATATAAGTCTCAATAGTAAACGTGGTTCGGCCATCGAAATGCCGAACTTTAAATCCCACTTGAGAGTATCCGATCATAAAATATCTCGGCATGCAATGTGCCGAGCCCAATAAACTGTAACATCTCACTTCGCCGAGAAGGCTGATGAGATGACTTCGACCAATAAGGATTCGAAAATCCTTCTCGACCGAGACTTGGATAGATAACCAGTCGTCCTCGATGCAGTGCTGTCTATGCTAATTGAAGATGCTGCGAGATCGGCTGGTTCTACGGCAACAATGTTGTTTATGCCAACTGAAGATATCACTGGTTGCCTTCACAGTGCTGTTTATGCCAATTGAAGATGTGTCGGCGAAAAAGAAAAGGAAAAAAAATCTCAAGGTTGTTGAGCGAATTTATGCAGGGCAGTTGTGTGTTGAATTAAGAGGGGGTTGTTTCGATGCCTTTTCTCCCTATTTATAGCAGCCAACCTGTATTGAATCCCATTCATTCCTGGATTAGAACTCATTCTCCTAATCCATCTTTATCTCGACCAATCCTATTCTTACTAGGACTTTGAACACAACTCATTATCAAACCTTGTTCAATCTTAGCATCCTAATCCCGTCGAGACTTCATCTCATAACAGGATTCGTCCACATTCCTCTTTCCGATAGGATATAGCCCACTTCGACCGCTCGGCCCATGGGCTGAATATCTTCTAATGACACCTATTTAAAAGATCTAACTCGGCCCAAAATAGTATTTTTGGGCCCAAACAATAGTACACAATATTTGACAACCATAGAAACTTACGGATCGGGAATCTGACGTATGGATCTTCCTGAATTGGATTTGTAAGTTCATAAAATAAATGTTGATCGCCACTTGATTTTGGGCAATTGGTGGAAATCCGACCGTTGGATTATAATGAAACCTTGGGATGTTGTTCTAGAAGTTTAATGTGAGTCTTTGGAAGCAACGGATCAGAAATCCGTGATGCAGATCTTCTGAATTGAATTACGTAGGGATGCGTTTTATGTAAATTATGTATTTTATCGGTCAGAACTCTGAGATGTGATTTGATAATTGGTCATAAGCGACAATGGTTCGTGATGTCTCGACATGCGTGCTAAGGAGTCGAGGCACGGACCTCAGGTGAGTGGGTCTTTTCCTTTCTATATTATATATATATATATATATGATTGACATTTCGTAAACGGTTAGAAATTGATTATTGCATATAATTACAGTTAATGCTTTAAAATGCTAATGCGAACTACGAATGGTTTGATCCCTGATTAGGGTACGTAGGCAGTCTAACGAGACGTTAAATGCAGTCATACCATAAATGAGACTAAATAATTGAGACAATAGCCTTGTTTGAGAAATTGAGCAATATGAAGGAATCTGGTGAAAAATGTGAGATTTAACCTCACATCTCGATGATTAAATGTTGATTATAAATCAATGTGTGAAGAAACGAGAAATTGTGGCTTTACGTTTTATAAATGCCATGTCATAATTAGTTTACATTTTAGTATGTAATTTGGTACAAATCCGCATAGTGTTGCACACAATACAGAGGTCAAGGTACGTTCAGGTGAGTATATAATGTCGGTATGATTGAATAATAATTAGTGATGAACGGATGTGAGTAGAGCTCATAAATCTGCACCCCGGTGTTAGTGCTCCCTCCTGTGGCCAGGGCACAGTCCTTCACGTGATGTTCACCTCCTGCACCTTACGCTCACCTTGGATTCAAGGTAGGTGCACAGGTCTGTCGTACATACCACTATAGGTGGTTCCGACTCGTAGGTGACCCGCGATTATTCGCACAGTCTTCACATGATCGTAGCACTTGAGCGTATTTATTTACACCCAGCCCTGTCGTACAGACCACCTTAGGTAGTTCCGACTCATGTGCATGTATACTTATTGAGATATGGATAAGTCGTACAGGTCACTAGAGGTAACTCCCGACTTATGAGCTAGCATATGTGATGGGATATGGAGAAGTCATACAGGTCACTATAGGTGACTCCCGACTTATGAGCTAGCATATGTGATGAGATATGGATATAAGTCGTACAGGTCACTATAAGTGACTCCCGACTTATGAGCTAGCATATGTGATGAGATATGGATAAGTCGTACAGGTCACTAGAGGTGACTCCCGACTTATGAGCTAGCATATGTGATGATATATGGATAAGTCGTACATGTCACTATAGGTGACTCCGACTTATGAGTTAGCATTGATTGATGAGATATGGGTGCAGTCGTACAGGTCACCAAAGGTGACTTCGACTTGCGTGCTAGTATGGGTTATTAATCACATGTTTATTGATATTGTGAATGAGATGCTGTGTTGTGGTATATTTATGGTTTACTGTCGATATACTTTTGGTTGCACATTGATACGTGGTATGATTTTCTGGAACCTATACAGATGTTCCAGTGATGGGTTATAATGCTTTAGATGGTTTCTATTAAAATTTCATTTCTAGGGCTACTCACCCTTGTTTTGTTTTCACCTTCCAGGTTTTATTAACTGAACTTTCTTATCGTTAAAGATTCGTGGCAAGTCTTGGTATTGGAGATTACCTTCGATTGTATGATTTTCAATCTACTCTACTGTACTTTACGTATGCTCTGACGTCACGCGTGAAATGAGTTCATTTCCGCTCACGGCGCACTCTTGTATTTAGGCACTCTTAGGTTTAAATTTATTCACATTTTTTTTCCACATCATCATACTTTATGGCTTCGTCACCCTTCAGGTGTGCACAGCTCAATTCGGAGTCCTAGTGGACATTCCAGGTCGGGGTGTGTCATTCTCTCTCCCATTAGTAATGAGGACAATGATATACATAATGATACGATAACTCTTATTTTTGAGAAAAACTTATGTGAAACATGTTCACCGCTAAGTGGCATTCACATCTAATAATGCATTGTCATGTTTAATATTTTTTTCTCTATATATCTTAAATGTACAATTAGTAAAGAAAAAGACATGCAGTTGGATTTAACACACCAAAAAAAAAAAAATCAATATACAACGGAAATGACAATTTTTTTTTTTTCAGACTTCAAATATTGAAATATAAGAGAATAACAACAAAATATGTTTGAAGGTACAATGAAAGAATGATGTGAAGGCATCAAGCGAAAGACAAGGAGCTATTTCCAACCTTAAATTGCTGCCCTACTTTCCTTAGCAAAATTTTCTTTTTCTGACCAGAAATATGCAAACAAAAACAAACCCTATGTATCTAAATAGGAAAGGAAATAACAAATAACAAAATATAAAAAAAATCCTAAAATATTAAAATTCGAGTTAAGTATATTAAACAACATTTTCGCTCAAATTCCGTATGAGATTGTTGTTTGACAACAAGTCTTGTGGATATTGTCGCTCTCTTTGCAATCTATATATTATGTGCTCAAAACAAACATGTCAACCCAAATTTGCGTCAATATGGCAACACAAAAGATCCAAAACATCCACTTTCGGGATATGATAGCAGCAACTAACTTATTGGCACATGAATTACCAGTTCTCCAATCACTTTTCTTGATTGCTCGCTGCTTGCTTCTTTTAATTTTATTGCATGTGAAATAATCTAATTTCTTTCCTACATCGGTACCTTAATTGCTTGAGCTAAAAGAGCACTTCTACTATGAAATTTATCATTTCAATAGTTTTCTATCTCCTATTAGTGTTAAGGACAACGATATCTCTCATTTTTTAAGAAAACTTGCATTGAACGGGTTCACCATTATGTGGCATGCCAATCCAATGATGCATTGTTATGTTTATGTTATCCTCCACATAACAATGCATAATTGATCCAAAACCACATTAGCAATGAACCCGTTGCATGGCTCTCCTCCTCTTCATGCACACCTCTTGTATATTAAATATGAATTGGTCAAGAAAAAGACATGCCGTTGGATTGAACACCAAAACAAATCAATAAACGTTGGAAATGACACATTTTTTCAGTCTTCTAATTTTTGTAAACATGATAACAACACCAAAACATTTTTGAAATAAGCATGATGTGAAGGCATCAAGCGGAGACAAGGAGCTATTTCCAACATCCTTTTAAGTATTAAATTGCTGCCATACTGTCCTTAGCCAAATTAGCTTTTTGCTTACCACAAATATGCCAAGAACAACAAACCCGCAAGGAAATAGCTACCATTACATTTTATAATTTTTATTTATATCACATTTTTCACTTTTGGAGGTTTTGGGTGGGTCATGTTCTTCTTTTTCTTTCTTTTTAGATTTAGTAAAAGTAACATGTAAAATCATAAATTGTTAATCATCTCTTTGTCAAATTATTAAATTAATTGTTATTTTAATCAAACTAAGTTGGTGCTTTTGTTTGCGTGAGTCACTAATTTTTTTTTTTAAAGAAAATTTGTGTTTCTTGTTCATGTCGCACCTTTCTAATCCAGATATTATTAGTTTAGCATTATGTGATAATGAGTGTTACGTCAAAAGGTAAAATTTTACTTCACATTAAGGATTTGTTTTCTCAAATTTTTTAAGATAGATGCCAAAACTTCACATATATGGTACAAAACGCAACATGTAAGTAAACTTAACATCTATATATATAAACTGAGAAGACAAAATAATGATTTTTTAAATTCCAAAAAATACCCCTCCCTAGTTATGAATACCAAAATATAACAAATTAGGAGTAAAATAATAAATTGAGCGATTATGTATTTAAATTATATTTTATAAACCATATAACGTAGTTCCTAATTGGATTATTGTTTAAATGTTAAAGTTTTGTTTTTTATATTGGTGACACAAGTTTGCAATTTTATTTTAGAAAATTAGTATATCTAGTATTATTTTTATAAGAAAAAAAATATACAATTAGTGCTGAGGTGTCACAGTATGATTGGTGCCCTTACACAAGGCAGGAAGAACCTAATCAGAATATCGCTGCCCTCGCCCCCGGTTAATCGTCCATCCATTGCCTTGGCTATCCACACTCCTCTCCCCAATCGACTAGCTGCTGCTTCCGCCATCCCCATCAACTACTCCGTCTCCATCATCTCTCTCTCTCTCTCTCTCTACTTTCTATCTCTAGAGCCCGATCCTCTGCGGCCATGGCTACAGTCCTCGACTCCGTCGTCGTTCCCCGATCCTCCGCTCTCCCTTCTTCAGCCGCGCTCTCTCGGATCCCGGCTCCCTCGTCGCTCTCGTCCTTGTCCGCCGGCGCTCGGTTGCCTCGCTACAGAGGCCTCAAGGTCGGATCAGCTCTCCGAACTCGCTCCGTCGGATCGCTGAGTTACGGTCCCGCTTCCGGACAAGCGAGCCGCCGTGGCGGGCTCGTCGTCTGCGAGGCTCAGGACACTGCCGTCGAAGGTCAGTCTCGTAATCTCTCCCTTCCAGTCAGGATTTCAATTTTTTTTTAATTTGCTTTGAAGTTTTTTTTAATTTATTTTCAAGTTTCACACTTTGTGTTTGGGTGTCTGGAAAATTGTTTGTTTAATTCTCCTTCAGTTTCGTAGCAATCAACAGAGGATTTGATTTTTGTGTAGAGATTGTTGTAAGATGGTAGATTTAGATTGTTTATTGAGTAAAGGTGGTACTTTTATCCAAGAAATAACTGTTTTTCTCTGTTTATTAGCTGCATCAATTGGGCTTTAAACTTTTTACCCATATTCTGAATGTCGTATAAGTTGATGATATTGGTGGCATTGTTTGTAAAGAGTTGGGAAATGAAAGGAATCGATCGGGAAATAAATTGTTGAAGAAAAATATTGGTTTTTGAAACTTTTGAAAACTTGGGTTGACTCGTAAAAATTAGATTATTAGTAAGGGAAGATAGAAGGAACCGAGGATGAGGCCACCTAAGAAGCGTAATCAAATGGTTCGGAAGATGTACTTTAGATTCTTAGGCAAGCTTTATCTGGTGATTTCAAGTTGTGGTTACTTGTAATTGTTTGGTTATGCCGGTTGATGGCTGAAATAGACCTGCTGCTCGGTGGCTAAAGACAAGCCACGGTTGAGACTGTCAAGGTACTTAACTCACAGTGACTGACTAAAAATTCCAACATGAATGTTCGATTTCAGGTGAAATGTTGATGGAATGTGTGGTGACTGGTCATTAAAGACAGAAGCGAATGATAAACCTGGGGATGTGTGCATGAATCTTGGGTAATTCGGACATGTAATTAAAATTATGTATAGATATGGAACAAAAGTATTGTACTTATGAGAGTATACAACGAAAGTATAAAATTGGTTGAAATTTTTGTGACTGAAAATATCAAAATTTTTATTAGAAAAATTGAGTTTTGATCTAAAGGTGGTGCTTTTGGACTGATTCTTGCTTACTATATAATCAATGTCCAAAGTATTAGAAAGAGTTCTGCAGTTCTGTGTTCACATATTACTTTTGGTAGTTCAACAAGTTTTATTTTTGATAGTATGTTCTCTTAAAAATTACAGTGCCTGCTGTTAGTGATGCAACATGGCAGTCACTTGTCCTAGATTCTGAATACCCTGTTTTGGTTGAATTCTGGGCTCCGTGGTGTGGGCCTTGCCGTATGATCCACCCCATAATTGATGAACTGGCAAAGCAATATGCTGGGAAGCTCAAATGCTACAAAGTTAACACTGATGAGAGTGCTTCAATTGCAACCCGATATGGGATTCGAAGCATCCCAACTGTCATCATATTCAAAGGTGGCGAGAAGAAAGATGCCGTTATTGGTGCTGTTCCAAAATCTACATTGACCACCAGCATAGAGAAGTTCTTGTAGAGTGTGGTAAGTATTATTCACCTTGTTGGACCTAAGCTGTGCCTTGTATCTGTTTCTTCTCTTTCTAGATTATGATCTCTCAGATTTCGGAGGCTTCTCTCCCAAAATAAACTCACGTCTGCTCCTGTATAGTTAGTTATCTGGATGAAGTTGTAACTATTTTTTTTACTTTACGAGAATGTTAGTGACTTAGTAAATTATTATTAATCGTATGTGTGGGTTATCTTAGACGCACTTTCCATTGTTACAGAGTTCAGTTATGTTTCTTTATCTTTTGGTTGAAGATCGTAGTCAGTGATGCAGGAACCTATGCATGTAGGATAACCTAGAAAATATATGTTAGGAGGTTGTAAGTGTTAGGTGGGATTTCCTGTGAGATCATTTCAAAGGGATGATGCAACGGATTGAAATTCATGTCAACTCCTCGGGTTCACCTTTCATTTTAGAGTATTTTCTTTCTAATTATTCGTGCAAAGGCGGGGTGTTATGTGGGGTGCGAGGGTTGTCCTTAGGTTTAGCTAGTCAAGTGTAAGACAACTCCATCTTAAGGTTGTCTTCTTGGTGGAGGTGCTGGTGGGGTAACTGCGTAGGATGTTTAAGGTGAGAGGAAGTTACTAGCTCAGAGCTGTAGGTCTATTTAGATGCGTGCATTCTTCTTTTAAATAGCTAGAGTGCCATTTGAGGCTGCATTAAGTAGGAAGTTTGACTCATTGTCCATATACTTATAATTTCGAGTTCGTTTTCTCTAACATCGGCTACAACAACAAAACCGTAAAAGAAAAGCCCTACACCATAAACTCTCCTACTGTTGGGTAGCTAATAGCTTTGGAAAGAAAGGCCTAGCTAATTTTTGATATTGGGGAATAGGGGATTTGAACTCGGAACCTCGGGTGCAAGGTAAAATGCTTTTAATCAGTTGACAATTCTCGTGGTTTTGAATAGTTTGAAAACCAATTTAGAGAGGAGACTTTGATCCTCTATATGTAGAGATAAATTATGCAGCTTTAGTTCGATAAACTTTTTATCTCTGTATGTGTTTTCATCTCATGTTGAGTCGTGTACAGGTTAACAGGCTACACAATAATATAAACGTGTTCAAGTGTGTTATTTTCGGGTTAAACAGGTTGACGAGATGAACTGTTATTTAACCCTGTCATGCGATTATGGTCCAACTCAAACCCGTTTATTTCGTGTCATCTTCAAGTCAAGTAATCGTGTTCGTTTTCCAAATTACGAGTCCTAAATTAATGAGTTTGGGAGGGATGATTCGTGTCTCTTTTAATATTATCACATTCAATGTGAACTCAAAACGCTTTAGTAGCTGCTCAAGAGATTCATCATGTCTGCAATGTTGCCATACACACTTTGGGGTCCTTCAATTCCTCCTACAAAAGGCAAGAGGGTGCGGATTAACCACCAAGCCGTTGGTGGGCAAGATGAGATGGGTTATTTTTAATTAATCTGTTTGGTGAGAATAATTGTAACATAGACTGGATTGACTACAAATCCGAAATAGGGAAAATATGATGGGTTATGTAACCTAACCACACACGAGTTATGTACTCGTCCCTACCAATCCAATCCTACACCTAAGATCAATCTCATCTACCCCACAATACGGATCAAAATAGTCCTATTCTACGTGAACATATATAATGCCCCGAGAGCTAACTTTGAGGCTCTGACAGAATCTGAGATTTATGTTTTAGTTTCAACTTTCAACTACAATCTCCCAAAAATCCAAATGGGGCCGGATCTGGATGGTCCAGGACATTGCCAATTATGGCAATCTTGATAAAAATAGATGTTCCTCAAACGTACGTGTCAAACGTTATCCTTTTTAATGTTGTCTTCACTTGCGGCCTTTATTATTATTGTCCTAAACCTCGAGAACTTGTATGCCACACAATACGTGTCTAGTAATATATGTACAATTAGTCTCCTAAATTCACAGGATAGAACATTGTCCTTATCCACCATCAGAGTTATGACTCATATTACTAAATATGGCCAGATACACTTCAAAAGATATAGCGTGATGATTTTGAAAATAGCTAGCATAAGAAGTAGTACCATCAAATGCTCTACATGGGTTGTTAGATTCACTGCACAATATGTATACAAATAAATCAGCATTTTGTTTTTAAGTTTGATCCAACGGCATATCTCTTGACATGCTACGATGATGTATGAGTTTAAGTTTAACATACATTGTCGGTATATTGATAGGTTAAGCTTTTAGGCTTAGTGGTAATCTAACACGATATCAGAATCTTATTTGTAATACGTTCCAAATTTGACTGACATTCTCTACTATTTGTTGGTTTGGAAGATGCTGAATTTTCGCATGGGAGTGGATCAACTTGATACACTTTATTATGAGAGTTATAATTAACACTCCGCACTTTTCCGTATTGAAAGAAAATACATGAGAGAGGAGTCTTTCAATGCTAGAGAGGTCTTATTAGACTATTCATATTCAACAGTAGAAATTTCTTCCATGTGAAGGCTTTGTATATTGGAATTAGCTCCTGATTATTTAGAAAATTCGACCGACCATAGGCCTCCTAATATAAGAAGCCAAGCATCATTTTTCATCCTGAAGATTTGATTCTCTACCGTATGCCAAGTGTCACATTACTGTTGCTGATGAAAAGAACACGTGGCTCTGTGTAAGATTCATGTGGCTTATTATATTTCATTGAAGCTACATGACTATCCAGTATCCATACATGGGTGAGAGCCACAAGGCACCAAATCACGTGAAATATCAGACCACCTAATATCGATAAGCAGATTAATCTTATTTTTCATAAACGTGTTTTTCATATTATCTGTATTACTGTTAATTTGCCAACATTATAGCATTAATATATTGCAAACAGAACTCTTAGTGAAAAGTAACTAACGATATTTAACATTTCATTGGCAAGGCCAACGCTGAAAATTTGGAGGCCCTAATCGAGTCTTTGAAGTGGCGTCTTAGAGTTCTTTGACCACGACGCTTTGTACATTGATATGTATAAAAAAGAATTCTCTAAAACAAAAAGCTCTATATCTTCATCATATATCATTAAAAATTAATATCAAAATAAGAAAGATGTACAAACCTTACCTAAATAACACGTCTCGTATTTTTAGACGCAAATGTACTAATTAAGTTTACATAATTTAATTTTTCAACCAATTCTTTTTCAATTGATAAAATAGCTAACTCATTCAGTCTTTCTTGTGATATAGTTGATCAAAGATAAGATATGAACAACTTTAATTTTGAAAAACTTCTTTCCGCAGAGGCAACTGTAACTTGTATAACTAACAAAGTTCTATTATAAAAAACCCAAAGACTTAAGTTTGTAAACTTCTTATGAACAATCACAAAATTCGTAATATTAATTTATATGTAATATAATAAAATAAAAATTGGAGGCCCCCTAAAAATGGAGGCCCCAAGCAACCCGCCTCCTCCGACTACCCTCAAGGCGGGCCCCGTTTATTGGATAGTCGAATAAGATACTTGACCCGAATGCCGGCTTGCTTTATAATGTCCCCCCAACATACGGATAAGAGTCTAGTCAGCATGATAGAAAGTTCCAACTTCGATTGATTTCCGTTTTGATAAAATCCATCTCAGAAAGTCAAGAAGATTGCAAAGAAAAGGAACTCCATGTCATATTCTTCGGGATGATCAAACTTCATGATTTCGTTTTTGACCTTTAATTCTTTGACATGTACCCCCAACGCGATCGAACCTCAAATCTTGTATGCAAAATATACATGAAATTAAAGAACACAAGTAGTGATCACATACACACGAGTACTTGTGTTCATGTAATGTAATTGCCTGTTGACATTAACTTTCAGTACAGAAAAATATATGGGAAGTCCTTAATTATTTCCTATTCGGCATTAATTTAAAGGAAAAACTACATTTAAATGAATGCTCACGATTACGTGCATGAAAGCGCCATAAAAGAGATTAAATGTGCACGAGTTCGTAAATGACCAAACAGGATAAACAACATCTTTAATTGAAATGCTGGATCAAAATTTGAACTAATCCTTAAGGGTTGGTTTAGTGGAAGATGAGTAAGGTTTCAAACTCTTAATCCAAGTTTGAACTTCCATGGTGTATTTTTTGGGGCCACCAATTTTGTTTTGGTGTACTATTTGACCTGGATGTCGTCTGACATGTGGTATCAAAACTAGATGTGGAGTAAGATTAGTCTGTCATCAATGTGTGGTTAGAGACCTCGTATGTTAATATATATTGAGCATATACGATTTACACTTGACAAAATAGAGTAATGTTAAGTAGACCAATTTTTTAACCAATTTTGTAAACCATGTGATGTGTAACCAATAGGAAATAAGCTCGTTAATCAACAGTTAAGTAATAATCCAATCATCAACAACCATGTCATACGGTTTACAAAATATTCCAAATTTCTGGCAAAACTGCAGGCAAGTCATCCAATCCAATGTCTTCACATGATTTACGATTGAACTTGCATACTTTAAGAGTTACAATGGAAATATCATTTTTAGGGGAAACCTACACAAAGTTTAAGATTTAGACAATACAACATTCATGAACTTAAGGTTTCCAAAGTATACGGTTGATGACATATGGGCAGTTTAATTTGTTGATTTGGATAAGGTTGAATATTTGTATGCCGCATAAAGTGGGGATCATATAACATTTGCCATCCCCATCTGGATTTGTCACAGCCATCAATTTTCACAATCTTGAATTTTCCTAGTGGCCAATGAATATTTTCCTTTAGGTATATTGTGCACTGCATGGGGTCGAAAACCATAAAATAGAGTAAATGAAGGCATTTTTGAATCCCACACGTCTTGCCAATAACAATATACACAGTCAAGTGATACTTATCTTTCTGAGATTGAGACCTCCATTTGCTAAGAGAGAATGTTATTCTTTATAACTCAAAAGTTGTTGTCAACATGGGTATAGATTTACACTTTGAAATTTCAATTTTGAGACAAAAATACCGTTAAAGGTTAGTTCATATTAAATACCAAGTTGGGCATATATTGTAAGAATTTTTTTTTTAAAGTATTTCAGAATACGCCACAAACTTTATTGTAATTGAGCCTATGACTAAATAAAATATCTTGTCCTCAAGTTTGTTTCTTTTAGGCCATTTCCAACCGATGGCTGACCAGATGGCTCGTTTTAGCCCTCTGGCCCTCCAAGATTCTCCAAGA